TGACCTCAATATTCTATGAGTAACTCAAATGTCTCAAGAAAAATAACTTAGAATATTTAAAGTATTTAACAAACCATAAAATGCAACTCACGTCTTAAACATTAGCAATGGAAAAGACTCCTTAAAACACTACTATCTATGAAGCCTCTAATAACTATGACGGACATCAAGACAAGACCCATGACATCTTAATAATACTAAAAATAAAATTGGAACCCTCTAGAAGCATGGAGGCTCACCAAAGCTAATTGGGGCTGCAAGGGATATCACTAGAGAGCCTATTGCCTACCCTAAATACCTTTATATGCATCATAAAAATATGTAGGCCAAATGGAGTCAATACATTGAATGTACGAGCATGTAAGAGGAACTCTGAAGTATAAATATAGGCTTAAACTGATAGAACAGAAAAACATACTGATACGCTCAAATTATACCTCCCTAAAGAAGTATAAGCGATCGTTATCAAGTAAAGAACCCAACTTGTAGGTTGGGGTCGATCCCACGAGGAAAATTGTTTAGACTTTACTTTAACCAACAATTATATTCAATTAGCCAAAGTACTTCCAGAAACAAGAAATAAAAGGGGGGGATTTGTGAAACAAATTGTAATAATTCAGTAAGTAATCAATAAACAAAAGTCAATTTCGGTTGTTATCAAGATGAGAAAATTAACTAGGGTATACGTGTTCACCACAAGCTCATAACGCAGTAATTCTAGTAATCGCAATCCTTTCCTAGTGTATTACATGCAAAGTGATAGGTTAGGTATCTCTAATTTCTTGGTCTGGCAACTAGAGAATTTCACCCCGCACCTTGATCCGGCTACGTGTGTATAATTTACTAACCCTTACCTTTACCTCATATTAGACATCATAATCGATGTTTGGCTTAGTTATTACTTCGCACCAATCGACACTAGCCTATTAGATAGTATCACACTAAATCTATGTTGATAATTCTTTTCTTGTTGATTACCTCCTTGATCCGGCAAGTAGCAACAAGGCGAGTTCTAACGCGTGCACTCGTTAAAAAGACTTTTGAACGAAAGAATTATCAATGCATGCAAAACACTATTCAAGAATTACTTATTGACTATTCATACTTTGTTAATCACTCATGGATCCCACAACCCTAGTTATGAAGTTTAGTTACCCATAATAGCAAGAACACAATTCATAATATTAGATGAAGAAATCATGAACTTACGTAAAACGAATAATAAATCCCGAATTTCAACTTGAATTGCAAAGCCAAAAATCTTCAAAACGAACTTGGGAAATCAATAATTGCTAGGGTTGCAAACTAATCTCCAAAGTTACAAAGTAAAACTAGAATAATAATGTCTAACCCCCAAAAACAAGGTTTACATGCCCTATTTATAGAAAACAAAAAACCTAAATAAAAATGAAAAGAAATTAAGAAAAGTTTGT